GACCGGCGACACAGTTCGCTCGTAGAGAACAGGCTTCAAACTGACTTGGAAACTGGTAGATTGCACGTGAACTTGCCAACACTGACCATCAAACCGTTTGAGCAACCTGGAAACCCGGATTTTCCCCCCTTTGTCCCCAGATAAAACTATAGAGCACAGTCCCTCTTGACTAGGGGAACGACAGGGTAATTCTGTCACAGCACCACTTGATGCGATTTAAAACCCGCAACAGAGTAACGAATAAATAAATAAATAAAATAATAATTTAAACAATAACAAAAGCTTTTCTCAAGCAACTGCGGGTATGATTGTACTGCAACCACCCCAATGTTGGTTAGACTACTACCTTCTAACCCCTTTTGTCTACCATCGTTCACTCCAGAGTCCTGTTGGAGAAGTACGCATCAGCGCATTGCTCCCTGGTCATGCACAGCAGCTGGATGTACATAATTTCCTGACGAGGGTTCTTCCCTCATCCCGTTTCTGGTACTGTGTATAGCTTCTAGTTTGGATTTCTCCCCCTTACCTGCTGATTGGGCAGAGACTTCGAGTGAAGGTCGTCAAAAATTCTCACGCGGACGTAGTGACTGTTCCGATCGAAGGTTGATTTTTTACAGAGGCTTTCACTTGTCTGACTTCTTTGGAATTGAAACTGCAGGATGATGATTACAAGGCCACCTGGAAGCGTCAACCTTCACCGTGTAAAGCCCCTTAGTTAGGCCATGAATGGAATCTGAACTTTATTCAAGAAGCAATTCCAACAGTCAGTCCGCCGTCTTTGAGGCTCTCTAGGCGAAGAGAAAAACAAAAGGGGCGCAATCGTCTACCCGCTGGCTCTCAGGGCCCAGCGCGCAAGCAGTCTCCTGTCCCCTTTCATCTGTTGCGATCGTTCGGCCTTGGGCTGAGCACGGTTAATGATCCCGTTTCATCTGAGTAGACTCACTAGATTCCCTTTATTTCCCTTTGTAATCCAGTTCACACTACCATCATCTTGAGCGAGCGTGTTTGGYCGCTAGSGGTGTCGGTCGCATGAATCTAGAGGTAGACGCAGCGCTCTCTTTCTCACACTCCCAGCACCCTGTCTGGAGTGCCCGGATCCCGCTTCACATGTAGAACATCACGGTCCCACTTTGAATGTACCTGGTCGCTTTTAGGACTAGATAAATAAATTTCATTTACCCGGCAGTAGACTTGTTCCCGTTCTCACACACGCTGCCTCGCCCGCTCTCCCTTTCTCATAGGTGCATCCCCTCTCATACCTTATTTCCCCGGCTCGATCTCTCAGATTCGCCTTTCTGCTCACGCATACAAACTCTCTCTCCCTCTGTGTCTCTCTTCCTCTCTCTCACACAGGCACCCCTCACGAGCTCTTTCGCCGCCTCACATGTCCTCACTCTAGCACATGTCGAAAACGCGCCTCACATACGCTGTTTCGCATTGGTTTAATTCGGAAGCACAGGATTCGGTACGCGTCCAAATGAGCACAGACAGTTGTTGTCACTTCTGTTCCCCCCGAACTCACTTTAGAGAGTTCCCCCTTTTCTCATGCTCCTAATCCCTCCCCTTCCACTCTACTGTCCGACGCACATTAAGACTAAGAAGGAACTTTCAGCCAGAACGGAGAGAGTTTGGCCATACCTTGTTCTCTGCGAGTTGGACTATAAGGGTTTTTGAGAAAACGAATCGTCACCGGGCTCTCGGGAAGACTGTCAGCTTGCTTTTCTTCGCCGTCGGTTCACTTGTCTGATGGCGCCCAATTCCCGGATGCCTCCTCTCTCTCTCTTGCAGTCCTCTTCCCTCGTTCTCCTCCTTTCGCCTCACTAGTGTGGTTTTCTCTGGCTTGTAGCGCTGTTCCTCCACTAGCTCAGCATCACGAGCGACACTCTTCAGATGCTAACAGACAGAACGAGGGGCAGAGCACGCCTCACACATGAAGTCAAGCCTTTCATCCTTCAGCCCCTCATCAGTCATGCTCGAGTCCAGACGGCCCGCGCCTGTGTCAATGGGGCGTTCTTTCCAAGCTCCCTGCGGACGCCTGACTCGCTGTGTCCCAGCTTCAACCGCGCAGCCTGCAAGAACGACTGAGCATGATTCAAACTGCCCGCAGCTCGCCAAACACGCTTAGCTCGTTCCCCATCTCACTCTGCTCGTCTTCCTGCGCGCCCAGACTCCAGTAACGGGTACACGCCAAGCAACCTCCAGAAGAGCAATCGCACCTATGCTCCTCTTCCCCGGCTCCTGCCGCGGTTCATTGACCCAGCCTGCATCGAGCTGTGATGCGGGGTACACCTTGCATACTCTCCCCACTTTTCCCGCTGGCCTTGGCTATATCGAGTTTTCACCACTCCTCTTTGCCTCGACCAGTCTGCTGCTGCTGGGCCGCCCGCAGACCCGCTGACAGTTCAAGCAAAAAGGGTACTGGTAATGGAGGTACCAGCGGTTTCAAGGCCCCATAAGTGTTGCTGGGCCTGTCCTAGTATCCACGTATCGTGCCTACTGTTCCGCAGCGAGTACCCGGCCAAATGTCTGGCCAAGAAAGGCACTGCCAACCGTTCCAGGGAGGCCTCACTGTCGTGCCTGAATCCCGAACCAGTGTACCAAGTCACAGCAGGACTGGTACCGCCAAACCTGGTGAGCGGCGACAATGTCAGAGTTAACCAAAGGTTGTACCAACTTAGTCAATTGTACCAATGTTGTGCCTTGTCGTGAGATGCCAGCGTCAAACCGCCCCGTAGTTTCTCCTATCCAGTGACTGTTTCAGGCCAATACCAGATACCATATAGTGCAGCGTCGTGCCAACAGCGGACCAGTTGCCGCACCGAAATACCAGGACCGAGGCCGAATCATACTGCTCCCAGACCCAACGGAAACTTAGCATGGCAAGTCTCAGATCATATCAAGAAGAGCTCGCCGGTCCTGAAAGCCAATGCCGTACCTGAAATAATCCTTCGGAGTTGCTGTGACCCATACAGGGCCCATGTCGAATACTGTACAATGTGGCAATGCCGCGATAGCACCGAACCTGTCTCGAACCAGAGTGTCGTGCCCAAATCGAACCAGCGGCCACACCAAAGTAACCAAGCCGAGCGACACATACCAAGGTAGCACCAGCGGCAACACCACACCGACCATGTGACTTCACTCACTCAAAACACCCAGATCACGGCGAGCCTAGGAAATAGTAGGAATCAAGAAAATCAAGTAAATCAGATAAATCCTGCGAGGGTTCACAATTATCGGGAAATCGAAAGAATCGCCAGACTTGGGGTAAGTAAATAATTCTGGGCAAAAATCCATCGCGAACGATTTTAATAAAATTTAATCAAATAATAAATAAAAATCCATCGGGACTAACTTTAATTAAATTAAATTAAATAATAAATAATCATTGGTTTTCTTTTCTCTTATTATTTTTAATTATTTTTCTCATTTTTAATTTCATCATCGGAAATAATGAAAATAGTGGATAATTTCCTTAAGAAGGAATTTCGATAAAATTTAAATAAATAGCAATTATCACATTTTTCTCATCCCTCCTATTATCTTCAATTCTTTTTCCCAATTTCAATTTTGATATTGAAATTAATCAGATTCGAGGAGTCATTTCCCCTTCAATCGTACGATGCAAAGGAGTCGTGCCAAGGCCTATTACCGCATCTCCGTACCGCGGTCGGCCGCTTCTGGAACAGCCTCGGAACGGACGAAAACGATAGGCGCCAGGCGCGGCAGGCGTGGCCACTCCTTTCGTTGTTTTCAAGGGCCAGTGTTAATACTTGACATGGAGAATATTAGCGTCTCTCTCCGACCCCTGATTTCTCCTGACGGTTCGGACGGAAGTCCCGGTCAACCCCTCTTTAAGCAGTTAATCTAAGGGTTAATCCGTCAGTTTTCGGGGGGCCGACTAACCTTCGGCCGCCCGACAAACAAGCCCGGACCTCCTCTCGACGTCCCCGTCGAGCCCGCACTCGGACGAATCGTACAAGATTTAGACTGAACACTCGCGCGCGGTTCTTATGTCTGCGCTTATCTGTCTGGCGCTTGGGTTTCTCAAAGACTCTGGGACTGAGTGGGTGTTTCTTGCCTCTCTTGCATCGCGGTCGTTTGGGCTTAGATATAGGAGTGTTTTTTAGTTTCTTCTTTCGTTGGGGTAGCAGTGCCGGAGACGCCCCGCCTCGTCTAACGCGGACTCTGCGTCTAGGTCTCCGGAGCACAAAAAACCATTTCCTTTTCTTTCCCAGAATCAAGCCCTTCACTTTCCTGGTCTCTACTCTCTTTCTCTTTTTCGAACTCTCCCCTGTCTCAAATTGTCTCGTCGGTCCTTCATCCGCCACCTTCACGTTCCCCTTTTCCTTAGGGTCCGATAGTGTCCCCGCAGAGGCAGGGGTTTCCCTTGGCCTAAACAACTTCAGTCTAGCCCCTTCCACAGGATCCTTCCACTTAGACCCATCTAACTCAGCAATCATATATGCTCCCCAACTAAGTGCGCCGACTACACGGTAAGGTCCCATCCATCTATTCGCCAACTTTCCTGACCATGTCCTTTTTAGCGCTGCATCGTAGAGAAGTACCATGTCACCCACAGTTATCTTCTCCTTTCTAACCCTGACATCCTTATCCCATCTTTCCTTGCCTTTGCCTCTCTCCACCGCCAATCGATCGGACGCAGTCATCAGATTGTCCTCTAACCCGTAGGCTGTCTGTCTAGTCCTAGCTGCCAGAAACTCCTCTCGTGACATACTATCCGCCCAGTCAACTGGAGTCCAACTATCAACGTGAAACTATGTGGGCAGAGGGCAATGCCTCCCGAACCATAGAGTGTAAGGTGGGTATCCTGTGCTTGCTCGAACTGTGACATTATCTGCCCATATCGCATACCGGAAATATTTTGGCCAGTCGCTATCCTTCCCTCTACACCACTTGGATAGGGACGCTATCAAGGACTGATGGCCTCGTTCTACAGGTGCGTTGGATTGAGGGTGATAGGCAGTGGCTATTGATACTCTAGCTCCCGCTTTCTTGAACACGTTCTGCATCTTGTCTGCTAGGAACTCCGCTCCTCTGTCCATCACAATCCTACTGACACATCCGTATCTAGACAGGTACTCCAGAACAAAGTTCTTTACTTCTCTAGCTGCCTTGGTTCTAATAGGCTTACCGTCAACAAACCCCGTGAAGTCATCCCTGATGTTCACGGCATAATTCATATTGCCTACTCCCTTCGACATCTTAACCAGGTCGATGTGGACCTTCTCGCCCGATCGAGTAGGATAGGACGGATGAAGCGACTCCTTGTATCTCACAAGCGATCTCTTCTGACACTCCTCACAGGTCATACAATGCTTTTCGACGTCTTTGTACTGCCCTTCCCACCAGTATAGTCTTCGGACCTTCTCATTGTCCCTTCGACTCCTTGATGTCCACCGACCACTCCGTCATGTAGTTCCGCTACTATGGACTGCTTCTCCTCCGGGTCACAGATCACTCGTAGAGGCATCCCTGATCCTGTAGGCCTGCGGAACAAATGTCCAGATCTAAAACAGTATTAAGCCGCCTGTCTCCTGATCTCGGAGTCCGAACTCTCTTCTCCTGACAGATGTAACCCTATCGTTCGGTACTTATCTTCATAAAGGTTGACTAGGAATCAATCAGTCCGTCTAGGCTCAGCCATAGTCAGCGCGGCTGACACAATCGGTCGCTCCGCCTCAATCGGAATTCACGAGAGCCCGTTGGCTATCGCATTCTTTGTTCCTGAGATTCTCTCCACAGTATAATCGTAGAGTCGGATTCTGATCAGCCATCGCGCAATGGTTGGATCGGTCAAATTGAAGCCCTTTTGTAAAACTGACGCTACCACCGTAGGATCTACCTGCAGAACGAATCGTCTCCCGTATATATAGTGTCTAAAAGCGTACAAGCACCGTAGGACAGCTAACACTTCTTTCTTGAATTGACTGTAGTTGCGTTCAGCGGTGTTGAGCGTACCCTCCAACTGAGCACGACCCAGCATACGTAGACACTATGAACGGTCTGTTGGTTTCATCCTCGAAAAACGACACAACTAGGATTCGTCCCCCTTCTTTAAATTCTTCCTTGAGGGTTAATACCGCAAGCTCCTGAGGAGAATCCCAGTAGAATCACTCAGTTTTCCTAAGAAGAATCCGTAGAGGCTCTGCCTTCTTCGCGTATCCCCGTATGAAGATCCGCCAGTAACCTACGACTCCTAGCAATTGGCGGACTTCGGTAGCGCTATGTAACGGGGTCGGCCGTTTAGGAGTTTATCTAACTTTGCTGGGTCCGCTCGACGCCCTCTCGAATCACATATGAACCCTAAAATCTTGATCGTCGAGACTGCCCACCGGCTCTTCGTCCCACGGACCATTAGATTAGCTTCATCTAGTTGTTCCAAGACCTCGTAGATGTCCGTTAGATGCTGCTCTACAAATCTCCTGACGCCAGGAGCAACCTCCGTCTCATCTTTTAATACGGGCCCTTTTATTGGAAAGTCGTCAAAAAAGACTTCGACTTTGTCAGGAATGAAGTCTTTTAGAACAGCCACCATAGCTCTCTGGAAGACCTCAACCCCATTGGTCCATCCCATGGGCACAACCATCATCTGCACTAATCCGAGTGGCGTGTGCATGGCAGTGAGATGCCTGTCCCTAGGATCCAGAGGTATCTCATCATAATCGAAAAATAGATCGCAGACAGAGTCTGTGTAACCGTTTGAATGCCGTGAACGCGCGTTCGCGTTCTAATGTGCGTTTGAACGCGGATTGCGCGTTCGCGTTCAAAATTGAACGGCGTTCAAATTTTTTTATATTTTTTTATTAAAAAAAAAAATCATTTTAATGCCTAAAAATAACTTCTTTTTCTGATTTTTTTTTTACGAGTTCTGTATGATGTGAGGTACATGCCTCTCAATTTTGGAGTCATTTGGCCAAGGCAAAAAAAAATGAAAAATCGCCAAAGATGGCGGTGTCAAATCATGTTCGCTCACTAATTTCAATTATTTTTTTACTTTTTTTTGTTTTCTGTTTTCTATTTGTTTTTCCAATTTGGTAACGAATTTAGATGTAATGCTCGGGCAAACGTTGTTTATTTTATTTTTCTTCATAACATTTTTGATTTTCGGAATTTTTTTAGGGTTTTTTTTTTTTTTTTTTTTTTTCCCGCGAGGAATTGAACTCCTCGTTCGGTCCCGTTCATTGAACGCGCGTGCATTCCGTTCAATTTCTGAACGGAAAACCCACATTCAATGAACGCGCGGTTTCACAGGACAGAGTAGATAGATCTACATGTCGCTCCCTCTGCCAATAGGTCTGTGTGCGGTATGGAACCCACATCCCGAATTGTAACCGCATTAACCTTATGAAGATCTTGAATCCATCTAATCTTCCCGTTAGGCTTCCGTAAAAAAAAATCACTTGTTCGCATAAGCATTATCAGACGGTTCCGCCACATGCGACGCCATCTTCTCCTTTAGAAAGGCGATTACCTCTTCCTTCTCCTTCTGCGCAAACTTCCACCCTGCATCATTCCATGAGGTATGCGGAATCGTGTAGATCCTAGCAGGTTTGGCATACCTAGGATCGATCCTTCCTCTTTCCGCGTCACTAAAGGCTATGGCCTTATCGCAAGTCTTAAGAACTTCTAGCACACGCTCCTTCTCTTGTTCCGTCAAATTCCCATCTCCTATGTCCATCTCCGCTATCCTTTCTTCTGTCAACCATTGCAGCTCCCTCTTCTTCCTTTCTTTAATCTTCCTAGCGATCTCCTCCTAAGATATCCCATCTAGTGCGGATCGCTCTCGGGCTACCGCCGCCGGCTTAACTTTCTGAGTTACTGTCTTGTACTTCTTTGGTCGCCCCCCGCAGCCCTTAAAAAAGACACAGAGATCATACCTTCAAATTCCTCGCCTTCTCCCTTAGGGTTGGAGTTCTCTCCCACCAGGACACGAATACCTAAGTCTTCGACTTCCGCTATGCATCCTTCTTCTTCTGTGAGCAATGCCCCATACTTCTTTTCGTGGAATCACAAAGAGCAACTCGCGAGTGTGACCGGCTTGCGGCCACCACCAGCTGCTAGGGCCGATCTGTTCCTCGGATCACGAGGCTCGACTGTCTCTATCATGATCCGTCCACCATCTGGACGCTTAATAGAAAGCATCTGGCTTCCGTCCGGTCGCTCGATAGTAACCGCATGAACATGGCTTAACAAGGTCCGCCCTAGTAGTAACTTCGAACTGCAGTCCCTGACTGCGAAAACAGGCATCAACACGCGCAACCCTTCGACCTCAATGGCCACCTTGTGACAGACTCCGGAGATCTTCTGCTTTCTTCCATCGGTTGTCTCTATCTCGAACAGGTAAGACATGTCGAGGTCCAGCCCTAATCGCACAGCGAGTTCCTCGTCTATGATGAGAGTTTCGCTGCCATTGTCAATCACCCCATGGAGGACTATCTCGTCATTGAGAATGGTCTCTACTGTCTCGCTCCCTAAAATGTAAAACTTGTCAGGAGGCACGCCTTCCATTCCATCCAAGTACACTGTCGCCTCGCGTTCTGCCTTTGCGCACACTCCCGATACTGCCACAGAGGGTACCTTTGGTTTCGAGGCCATCTGGACTTCGTCTCCCAGAGGAATGCGCGTCTTGCGCGTGATCATCTGTAGCTTATCTCGCGTGGGCCTCGAGGCCGCCAGATGCTCTAGTATCGTGCACTGCATAGGTTGCCTAAGCGTGCGTCAGAGAGGCTCCATTGTATCGATATCGTCTAAGGAGCTCTTCATAGTAAACTTTCGGGCTCCGCGCTTGCGCGGCGAAAGTATGACTTCTTCTCCTTCCATCCTCTGTCCATCATTCTCCGCCATCACATAATCCGTGTCAGTCTTCTTAGAGGAAGATCCCCTTGCGGACTTAGTCGCCGTGACCCGTATAGGCGTCGTAGGCGCCCCGTCATCAGAAGACAAACTCATCCGCACACTCTGGCTCCTTGCCACTTCTTTACCCTTACCTGGTCGTACACGCCTGGCCTCAATGTTCTCCTTCATCGAAGGGAACATCGATACGTCGCCGAGGTCATCTGCCCACTTGATGTACTTGCGATCATCAAGTACGACAAGTCCTTCATCTATGGTTCGCCTAAGGTCAGGACAGTCCCTCTTCACGCGATCATCTGCCCTGCAATAGATGCAGGAATTCCTAGGAGTAGGGGGTCTCTCTTTAGTGCCCCTAATAGCCGGCCCTCTCGCAGGACGGTCCCGGGGACTTAAGATAGTTGGAGATTTTGGGTACCCGGGCGACGCAGGATATCCTCCTCGATCATACTGCCCGCATGGATCTTCCCGACGACCTCCACCTCGCTCTGTCCTCTCTTAACCGCCACGATATCCATCACGACGGTCCCTGTCCGATTCCCATTTGCCGAGTTAGTCGTCTCTGTCCCTCGGGTTAAAATTACCTGGGCACTGGTATCCTTCCATGTTCCCTCCATATGTGGGACTACGGGGGTATTGTTCCAGCCTTCCCCCTCGGCTACTCCGCGATACCCGTCACCTCGCCAGTCTATGTCAATCTCCTCATCCCTACGTCGCCGGGCATCGTCTTCCCTCTCTCTCGTGCGATAGTCCGCTAGTGTACGAGGGTTTCTATCCTCCATGCTCCTCCATGGGTCGGTGTTCCTGCGATCCCATCGCAAGGAATAGGGGGACCCTGGCTTGTCTCGATAAGTAGTGGCTCCAGTCTTTGTCTCGATATTGGTCATTTGCCAAGCCAATCCCTTCATCATCTCTCTCATCTCTTTCACCTCGTCTATCATAGTCTCTCTGTCTCTCGGTCGTTGTGGTTTGTCCCTATCCATTAAATATCGTCGTTCCGCAAAAAGCCGATCGTTAAAGTCTGGACACCTCTCCGCATCATACTCTCGATAGAGGGAAAAGTCCCAACGTTACATTCCTCTCCAAACTAGGTCCTTGTTGTCGTCGGCCTCAGCCTTCATCGTCAACTTGAGTACCGCCGCAAAATCTAACTTATCGTGAGGCATCTCTCTCAGTACTCCCTTCTGCTTCCCTCTAGGTAGTCGACCGATGAAGATCGTGCATCTCTCGACCTCCAACAGCTTCCCTTTCACAATAAGGGCATCAGATATCTTCTGGAACCGCCTCCTAAAAGCTTGGACAATCTCGTCCTCCCCTTGAGTCATCACCTCCAAATCTTGGATTGAATACTTGACGTCTTCCAGCTTAAAGAGCTCATAGAGATTGGCTTTGTAGGTAGTTCACCTCCTGTCTTTCGGTCCAGCCTCTTTAATCACTTGACTCAAGCTCAGGTCCGTGTTAAATAAGAAGTTATCTATAATTCCGTCCTCCGACCATTGACTACGATATGCGTGCAGCTCCCACTTCTCGAGATACTCGGTGATACCGTATCTCTTGAAAATAGGGGGTCTGGTGTCTAACTCCGAAGGTTGGTGCGAGATGATGTACCTATCTCTCCTCTCGTAAGGTAGGAAGTACGACTCGCCCGTCTGCGGGTCGTAGATCTGCCTGGGCGGTGTGACTCTCTCTCTGTCTCTCCAAAGCTGCTCCCGGATGTATTGGTCCCTCCAGTCATCCCTACCTCGATCACCTCTAGCGTCTCTTTGTTCGTACATAGATGAGCATCAAACAGTCGATTCTCGCCGGAAACTCGAAGGCTCGGTTCTGCTCTCCATCCGTACCGCTGTGGCGGCCTTGTTTGGCTCTGCAATGACCGGACAGGCCATTACCTCTGGCTCCCCATCGTCGGGTTGCTCAACACATCTCAATGGAGCATTCTGTCGGATACGCTCCTTGAGGTCTTGAAAAGCTCGATCGGGTGATGCTCGGTACACCGTAGTCTGTTGTTCCTCATCCGAATGTGGACCCATGGTGTCAGACTCCATACACTTTACTCCCCCTTCCGGCTTGATTTGATTACCCTTATCACCCGAACAAGCAACCCGGACCTAATGTCAGAACCGGTGCCGCGGATCTAATGCCAAAGCTGGCAACCCGAACCTAATGTCAGAACCGGCAGCCTGGAGAGCTGGCAGCCCGGACCTAATGTCAGAACCGGCAGCCCGGACCTAAAGTCAGAACCGACAGCCCGGACCTAATGTCGGAGCCAGCAGCCCGGACCTAATGTCAGAGTTAGTCCTGCCGATCTCTAAATACCCTAATCTAAATCTCAACCGCCCTCAAAATCACCGTCAGTCTCCCGCTCTCATCTCGGATCTCGTGCGTCCCTTCAATACCTAGTACCCCGCTGTCAAGGAAAAGTTGTCCTTCCTGACCTTCTATATAGACAACACCTGTCCTGACCTCTAACACTCCTGTTTCAGGGCACCTGACTCCCCTATAAATCGCACTCCCTATAGCGCGTAACTCCTCACGAGTACAAGCTCGCAACCGCTCTCATAAATCGATAGATGTCCTCCTCTCCAGATCGGTCAGCCCTTGCCGTACTGCACTGGCTCCCGTCAACGGGTATTCACCTCCTCTTGCCATCAAACTCCTGACGTCGTAAGGCGAGTTCAATCACAGTGCCGAGGTTTCCCTTCTGCACAATTTGATACGGTGTTGGAGGTTTAGGAAGTCCCTCAAAGATCATTATCCGCGTGTTCCAATTAACTTTTCTCCCTAGCGAAAGTAACCTATCTCTTTCGCCTTCTACAATCTCCTCCGCACGCTCCCAACATCGACCGTACACATGATCTATTTCTCTCTCCCTCGGCAGATGGATCCTCACATCATACACGTCTAAATGGATAAACCTAGCGGTCATCACATAAAGACGTATCTCCTCCCATCCACTATCCACAAACTCGTACCTCTCTACCTCATACGGAATCGTTTCTCTCTTCCCAAGCGAACTCAACAGGCCACATATAGTCGCTAGTCTCTCCTCGGACGGTCTGTTCCCAGCAAGAAACCTCTCTCTCCTCAACTCTAGGTCGCGATTAGAGATGTTTCTCCCTTCACTCATTCCCACAACCTATTCTCTTCTTGTCGACTTCTTTGATCCATTCCTTGTTCCGACTGTCCTAGCGAAGTCTACTACCGCCTCCCATCCATTTCTCTCTAATCCTCGGTCCGGAATCGGCGGCCTTGGCAACCCGTCGAAAATCGAGATGCTGTCACAGACTTCAACGGTTTTCCCTAAATCTTCCAATCTCTTCTTCTCTTCCCTCAGCTTCCAGGCGGCTATCCTCCAGCACCTCATATAGACACAGAACTCCTCGCAGTCCCTAGGTAAATGTATACCTACGTGGTATACCCCTAAGTCGGAAAAGTATACGGTCATGACATAAAACTGATTAATCGTGCTCAAACCTTGGAGTACTTTCTCGTGCTCAAGTTTACTGGGTCCGCTCCATCCCGAAAACTTCCACCTTCTCCGCGCTAACTCCTCCTCTAGTAGTGGCATCTGTCATCCGTCTCCATGAGCCACCTAGCATTCCATTGCGATTAATGCTAAGGCCAACAGGATTCTCTGTGCAGAATCCTCCAAGAATACATAGAACGTCTCGAAATCGTCTATATCCCCAAAATCTTCAACATCCTCTAAGGTCTTAATAAACTCCTTCCAGTACCGGTTGTGAGCTTTGAGCAGAACGAAGTTGTCTACTAACTCTTCAGCTACTTTCGCCTCATACTCTAGGAGTCTCTCAGCCTCTCTAGGGGACTCACGGCACTCCCTACACAAGGGTCGCTCATCGAAGGGTGACATGCATAGTACGTACTTAATCAGACGCACGTTCTCCTCTCCTACCCAGAGTCCGGTCACTCGCGCTTCCTTCACAGCTCGTCTGGTGCACTCTGCTTCTTCGATTACGCTGAGTCTCTCTAGATGATCTAATTGTATCACTACACAGGCCACCGATTCATCTAACTTCCCTACGACATGCATGGAAAATTTATCATTGGTATACTCACTCGTTCCGCTCATCGTCTCCTTTCATTGCCCCGACGTTCCTTCTACATCCTCCTTTTCTTTCGCTGCTGTAACCTTTGACGACTCCTCTGACCTTTCCGTCGACTTTAATAACCGCTCTGATCCCTCGCTATTATAATCTCTCGCCTTTACGCTTTCCAGAAAGTCTAGACGCCACCTTCTGAAGAATTCTCTGTCCTCTCTAAAGAGTCTCTCTAACGCCCTCATCGATGCTTCTATTCTACGCAACTCACTCTCACTCTTGCTGTATCCGCAGTCCCAAATCTTGTTACCCAGCTCCTTGACTTGTTTTGACACCGGGTCTAAGATACGATCCTTGACTCTCTTCAGCCTCTCTTCTATATTTTCCATTCTCTGCAGCCCATCTATCTCTAAGCTCCAAACGCCTATCACATCTTACTCCAAGCTTCCGTGGGTGTCTCGATCTCTCGCCTTTACGCTTTCCAGAAAGTCTAGACGCCACCTTCTGAAGAATTCTCTGTCCTCTCTAAAGAGTCTCTCTAACGCCCTCGTCGCTGCTTCTATTCTACGCAACTCACTCTCACTCTTGCTGGATCCGCAGTCCCGAATCTTGTTACCCAGCTCCTTGACTTGTTTTGACACCGGGTCTAAGATACGATCCTTGACTCTCTTCAACCTCTCTTTTATATTTTCCATTCTCTGCAGCCCATCTATCTTTAAGCTCCAAACGCCTATCACATCTTACTTCGAGCTTCCGTGGGTGTCTCGTCTCGAACTATCTCTAAGCGCACTCTTCCCTTCACGCAGACAGTCACCTCATACACCATCCAACCTTGCGTTGTTACTTCTCTCAGCGCTCCTAACCTCTGCTCTCCTATGACATCCTCGGCAAGTTTTTTGTATTCACTGTCCGGTACTTCCTCATTTATACTCACCCTCAACAGAATCTGTAGTGTCCTGTCGTCGCGTGCTAAGTGTCTAGAAACAGCTCGAGCATACGGGAGTCGTAGCAAGGAGGACTCATATCGCTCATCACCTGGCAGACGACTCGTCACTCTCCCATGAGCGGCCCATCAAGGATTCCTATCATCCAAGCTCCTCTAGGAGCCGGATCCTCTGCGATCCCACCGGAGAGAGTACGAAGCCCGGGGTCTATGTCGATATAGCACTGACTCTCGCTCGGTCATGACAAAGCAGCTCGACTCATACCCTGCCCCTGGCTTCCACTACCGTCTCGTCAAAGAACAACTCCGCACGACTCCTGGTCGGTACTCACGTATGAATTCTCTGGCTCGTCGAAGGCACTCCTGTTCTGTCAGGTCCTCGTCTATGTGTGCTCTGAGTAAGACGGTCACTGTGAAACCTTCGTTCACTACTTGTCGGCTTACATTAACCACTGTAGTCGTCCGACCTGGCATACCTCCTATCGCTGGTCCTCAAACAGATACCTTAGCTCCTCCAAGCCAGCGTACCTGTCCTCTACGTGTTTTCGGCAATAGTCGATCAGATCGACCGGCCTCGGACAGTCTATCCAGCAAGTGACGTCGATCAGATCTCGTAGCGTCTCCTTGTCCAACTGTCCCCACCTCACGCAGACTGCGTAGTAAGCCTCCTTAAATCGAGGTGCTAGCCCTAACCAGAGCACGTACAGCGTGTGGTTAACTGCTTTAGTCAGGCAGTCCACGGTTCCATAGGTTTGTTCTATCACAAAAGTAGGAAGAGTCAACCTCCAACTCTCTACAGGATAGTAGACTGGGTGCGGGGGCCCGATTACAACGCGGATGGTGAACGGCCTCTCTCCTGCAAAACTCGTCAGCCGTCGTCTCACTAGTAACCCTGCTAAGATCTCGTACTTCCACCAGTCCCTGCTAACAGCGGCGAGTGCTAAACCTATCTCAAGGTCTCGTGTCTTGTCAAACACAAGATGCCCTATCCCTTCCAGTCGTCGAGGGGTATCAAATCCTCTATCCTCTAAGATCACCGTCCACAAGAAGACGCCCCTAGCCAACCAAGTACCAAAGTGTCGGATCGGTACGCTCGCTATCTCCTCTAAGCGCACCGGAATAGGAATATCGTACCCTACAGCCGTCTCTCTCGGCCCTATCAACTTCCTCACTCTATAGGAGTCTGAATCGCGCGTCAGAACGTAAGCCTACCATATGTCCGAGTCACTCTTCATCACGCTATCCGCCTCATCGATGCAAGTGCGAATATCCCTGATCTCTGATCCGTGTGACCAACTCTATCATCTCGTGCCATCCATACCTCGCTAGGTTTTTCCCTATGACTGGAGGAACCGGAATCCCTTCAAACACTTCGATAGCAGTATCCCAACTAACTACCTTCCCTTCTTGTCGTAATTGTACCACCTCTCCTGCCACCAATCCAGTAGCGCTCTTCCAAGCCTTCTCACTAAGTCCCCCCCTTGCCCGGGTCACAGGAATATAGTTTCGCACGTCGTACTCATCTAGGCTAACAAAGCGATACGTAAGAATGTACACACGCCAAGGATATATCCCTCCTCCCTGGACATAGTCGTATGTAACGAGCTCGTATGGGAGACCCTCTCTCCTCGTCTTCTCGTTCAGGGATCGTATGACGTCATTGCTTTCCTCTTTTGTAGGGCCTCGTCCCTCGGTGAGTAGCTGGTCCCAATATACCCGCCTAAAGGACAACCATGTCTGCCCATCTGTAATTCCCACCATCGTCTCTACCTCTCTCTTGGCTTCTTTCTCCTTCCGCCACGAGTAGCCTCCGTCAATGAACCTCGTCTGCGTCTACCATATCCACATCAGCATGCTCACCTATCTCGCATCCCCAAGGGATATGATCCTGCCCCTCGGCCCGGTGGAGGTGCCCCCAACGGTCCTCGTCCGGTAGCTGACCAGCTTCGCGGACCTCCTCCACGTCCTCTCGGTCGGCCCCACGCTCGTCAAGTCTCGGACCTACCCAAGGCTGGCCCTGATCTCCCCAAGGCTCTATGTCCTCCAACTCCTCCCACTCTCTATCATCCGCGTACCAGCCAAGGTCCTCTCTCTCCGGGTATATCCGCTGATAGTGCTCCTCAACCTCCCAGTGCGAAATGAGGAGGGCAGGTCTGCTATCACTAGTCTCGCTCAAAAGCCGCCCCACACCCTCTAAGTAATCCGAGGGTCTCTGAACCTCTCTCTCTAACGCTAACCAAAACTCTGGGGGCTGGTACGGGAAACGCGACTCATGGTCCTCGGACGGCGCTAGAGTTCGAATGAACTCTATCAGCTAGAGCCCTCTCTCCCCAACAAGGGGCCCCCCGACGAACTGCACGTAAGCAATCCAATCTCGGTTCGTCGGTCCTCTACTCAATCCATCCAACTCGAGGCTGGCAAAATAAGTATCGGCAATGTGGCCCAGACCCCAGAGATCCTCCGCTACAAAAGTCGAAACTCCCACCCCCAGTCGCACACTGGGGAATGGAAAGACCCCTCCGATCCGGAGGGTCGTCCTCATTGCCCTAGCTGGACCATACAAGCTCTCAACCTCCTTGCGAAAGCCCTCTGCAACATCCGTCAGGATGGCTCTTGCCTCCTGCTCGCCTCGCCAATGATCATGGACTAGCCCCTCATAATAGACCGTCGCCCCTACCGTGCGCGAGTAATAAATATGGCCTGTTACCTCTATACTCGTCGTCCCGGGTGCTCGCCACCGCTGGCTGTCGGACTTGAAACTCTCAACCACATAGGTCCACAAGTCTATGTCGGGCTCTAACAGTGTCGACCTCCACCGGGTCTGAAGTCCAGATCCAGGTCCAACCACACTCTTGGGCGGTAGATCAAACTCTAATATGTTGGGCGTGACGATCTCGGGGGGTCTAGGCCATCTAGCATCACCGATGGGGAGTTCAACTCTGCCGACCGACTCTACCATCGGATCACACTCAGCAGCTACCTGACGCCGATGACTCGCTCCACTCGATCGCCACCTCTCCGGCTCCGTACTATCCTCAGAGTCACTCCCTCGTCAACAGCCCTCAGATCTGAATCCTCCCTCGCACATTGTCGGAGGGCGCGGTGTCCCGGCCCTCCTCTGTGTGTGCCAGGCTCCTACTCAGTACCGGTTCCTCATTCAGTCGCCCCAACTTGTAAGCATGTTCCCGAACCTCAGCAACCCTCTGGTACCCGAGCTGTACCCCGACGTGGACCGTTTCTGTTGGTGCTTACCTTAACAAAAGGATGGGTGCGCCACAAAACTTTCCATTGGTCCACGTAGGCTCGGCGCCGTGCTGTACAGCAGAGCACTACCGGCCTGTAGCCGTGGTAGCCGTCGGGCTTGCCCTGGGACGCGAAGGTAGAGGGACGGGCGCGGTCTTTTCTACTGCGCGCCGAGTGCCCCTCTGCTAGGTTATGGGTTAGGTGCACGAAACAGGTCACTGTCAAAAAGAAAAGGGCTGAACAAAAGAAGTAAAAGAAAGTAAAATGTAAAAGTGAAAAGAAAACTAAGCGTCTGAGCGGCACACGGATCAAGGCCTTTGTTTTAATTAAAAGTAATCCAGCGATAGTTGGTCACTGTATTGCTGAGTTTTCTTTTCCCTCTATTATTATTATTGCTATTATTATTATTATTATTATTTAATTTTCCTTTTCGCACGATTTGTCAGACCCGGTTTTCTTTTGGCCTGTCATCTCAAGGTGCCAGCGGGTCAACTCTGAAACGCGATCGTCGTATGATGGTTCAGACTGGCTCAACTCTTCGCTGTTTCCCTGTGCCAGGCTTGTCCGACTGGGCTTTGTGCGGTAGGACCCCAAAAGAGGGGCGACCCGCGTCCGCATCGGTAGGAGGCTTATCACCCCCATGGAAGGTCATAAGCCCCCTCCTTGCCATCGAACACGGGTACCCGATAAAAGTAGGTAGAATGGCTCGTTTTTGAAGAAAAAGGGGCAGTTGCCTGTGTCCCGTTATGGGACCACTACGTTGAACCCGCGGTCATTTTTATATTAAAGTGAAGGGACTAGAGGCTGACAAAAAAAAAAGTGAGTCGCTTGCTTTATGACCGTTGGAGTTCGGCTTCCTGGTTTCTTCCTTTTCTTTTCTCTTCCTTTTGTTTTATTCGCTTTATTAGGATCTTCAAAAGACAATCTTCTTAATTTACAGAGTCGGAAAAAGGATATTTGCATCCCTCGTTTAGAGCACAAGGATTGCGGTAAGCAGCGACCCTATAAAGGCTGGGGGAGACGAGCCTCTGGAATACTTGGACTTGGGCATCCCTGTTATGCTAAGTACGGTGGGCTGAAGAAGGGGGTCGCACACTGAGGTGTGCACACGTGTTTGTCTCTGTGCGAGGGCCCTGAGTGTTAGAGTGTGGCTGTTCCGGAACTCTGCGTCCAGGGACTGTGTACTGTCCGGCAGAGAGGGTCAGCTATGGTACGTAGCAGCGGGTTGTATGGGTATAGGCCAAGGTGCCTTCAGTTTCTTTGGAAATGGGAGCGGATGTCTGGCGAAGGGACTACGGTGACGGCTGTACTGGATTACAGTTACGGAAAGCGGGAGGCTAAACTAAGGGTGAACGTGGAAGGGGGAAGAGAAGAAGAAATGCGGGCGGATGAAGGCCTGCAGATGGCGATTTCAGAGGCTAAGGACAGAGCGGAAAGGAGGTGTAGAAGGGACGGGGTCACCGACGAGCTGAAGGTGACCGTGTCGTACCTAGAGGCAGAGACCTCAACTGATACGATAGAACGAAAGCAGCGGCACCTGGACCGCGACACAGAGACGGACAGCGATGAGAGTGACTTGGAGGCCACGACTCAGTCCTAGCACGGGTGGGAACAGTGGAAGCGGGACCACCCGTCGACTGGACCGGTAGAGAGCGGCCCAGAGGCCAGTTCACGACGACGAAGAGGCCAGGACCGCTAGGCTACCGAGCAGAAGGTCAACGAAAAGAGAGAGGCAGGACACACTGGGCGGTCGCGGGACAGTCACGTACGAGTCAGTCACGCGTGAAATCAGGCAGGTGAATGGACAAGCAAGAAAGGAGGGGGAAGTCGTTGTTATGTGTGTGATCTTCACGAGTCATGAAAAAAGAGGAGGCGCACCCCGGGTGATTAGTAGGAGAACGACATGATATGGTCACAGAAAAGGACTGAGGGAGGGTGAGTGATCTGCTATCGGGTGTGGTAGAGTGAAGTGGCACTTGCTATGGGGATGCCCACTGCCGACTAAGATCGGAGTCGCCTAAGATCACTAGAGTTGTCCGACCCCTGAACTCATACACTCTCTCCGAGAGGACGAGATCGAGAACTCACTGGCGCGCCTGACCAACTCCAAGGACCAAGTGGTAGTTGGCACGCTTCTTTCAGCGCTGTTGCTGACGTCATCATTGTCTCTCGAGGTAGGTGAGGGACGAAGCTTCCTTCTCCCTGAGAGACACGTGGACTGTCACATATGGTTTGAGAACTTACCATTTTGAGAAGAGTGAGATTGACGACGGCAGGCTACCAAGAGCTAGCCGTGACACGAGAGAAAAGAGGAGTCAGACCTCTACGGCGGATGCGAAGATAGCTCCCTTCCTCTCATCATCGCGACCACAGCAGTTACCAGTTTTGT